GAGACATTATTCAAGTTGGTCAATGAATATATGTTTAGAAGTAAGAAGCCCGTTGGTATGAGAAGAAAATAAAGAGCACCGAATACGATGCATGACCATTCTTTCGGATGTAACAGCGCTGAAAAGGTAAAGGCAACAACGAGAAAGCCTAAAAATATGACACTCGGATGAAATGGGCTTTCTTGGGCAGCGGTAACAATAGTTCCGACTAATACGATCATCATTACAAACGCGTATAGTGCTGTGAGAATCTCCGCTACTTGAACTTGAGTTTTTGCCTTCACATAAAAGCACAAGATAAAGAAGAATATCGCAGGGGCAAGAGCAATCACATATCCCCATATGACAGTGACTTTGAAGACAACCATGTTAGCGCCGGCAATCATCATTAAAACAGTTGCAGGGCCGACAATTGTAGACAACAACAAGGCACCTTGATACAGGATATACAGCATGCTAATGTTGGAGTTTACATATACGGTGTTCTTGTAGTCAGCAAGAAGGTCGATGATGTTGAAAACAGTAGATGGCATCCATCTTCGACGTTGATTAAAGAACTCAGCAAAACCTTCAGGTGCGTACGTGAAAGCATCAGAACCAGCTGCATAGTCAACTCGATATCCCTGCTGTAGAAGTAGTGTGCAAAGCCATCGGTCCTCACCTTCGAGCAAAATAAAGAAAACTGAATATTCGCAAATCAAAGAGCATAAGAAAAAAAAATCTGCTTGATAATGTATCAGAGAGTATATTATTTCAATATATAAATAAGCATAGCTACATGTTTAAAGGACATGTGATCGCAAATTAATTGTCAAAATCAAGACATTAAAGGTATTGTCACACTGAACTGCAACTCCTCACGAGTTGTTTGAGACACACATTTTAGCACATAATTTTGCGAATTAAAGCGAAAAAACTCGATCGGGGTTTAACGTCCTTATATTAACGACATGGATGCGTGTGCACTGACACCTAAATGTTATGCGAATGTCGCATGCATTCCTGATAATTATCTCTAAAGTTCTCAAATATGTCGCGAGAACATCGCACGACTATCGCACGAGACATTTTTGTCATCTGTTTCGCATGTTTGCTAATTTTTGAACTTGCTGACAAAATACGCGTGAATTTTATATGAAAACCGCACGACAGTTATAAAATGCAATACAAAAATGAGAAAATTCAAACAAAAATAAAAGCAAACTCAAACTTTAACGGTCAAACATCGTTTGAGAAGGGTGGATAAGACCCCTAATTTGGTTGCTGGCGTCAATGCCAATGCTGAACGCTTCAGGAAGTCTCATTGCTGATGTATGTATGTATGTATGTATGTATGTATGTATGTATGTATGTATGTATGTATGTATGTATGTTTGTATGTATGTATGTATGTATGTATGTATGTATGTATGTATGTATGTATGTATGTATGTATGTATGTATGTATGTATGTTATGTATGTATGTATGTATGTATGTATGTATGTATGTATGTATGTATGTATGTATATATGTATGTATGTATGTATGTATGTATGTATGTATGTATGTATGTATGTATGTATGTATGTATGTATGTATGTATGAATGTATGTATGTATGTATGTATGTATGTATGCCATTCATGTCCTTAAAGATTATAATTAATTTAGGTAGCCTTTCAATTTTGAATTCAATAATTCTCTGAATGGTACGTTAGTCGATTTTAAGTGATGTTTACAATTTTGATGCAAGGGAGGCCAATGAGACTATTTTATGAATCATGAAGAAATAATATTTTAATGCATTGTCGGTAAAATAAATGATCATAATTTTTTCGATCATAATTTTTTCGGATTGGATTGAGGTTGAGGTTTCTAAAAATATGTCTCATATGGGTTTGTAAAGAAAAATGACTGTTTTTCTATTTATGGATTTAGCTTTTCAACTGTTTAGGAAATTGACTGATATGGGACAGGTCTTTATTTGACTTTGTTTTTAAGCATCCTTAGGGGCTTTTAGTGTCCAAATTTATATTATCTGTTGGCTTAATTCTATTTAGAGAACGGTTCGTGATGGGTTCGCGATCCATGCGATGATTTTGTGAATAAATTGCGCACGAATTTTTTCAAAATGTTGTTGGTTTTTTTATGGCATGATTTTGACGAGACATTTACGATTAAAAGGTCCTTAAACCCCTTTTACACTGGGCTGCGAATGTGAGTACTTGCGTACGGCATTCGCGGGATAGTTTCAAAAATGTTTCGAAAGCTCCAAATTTCGTCGCACAAGTCGCAGGTCTTCGTTATCTTGTTCAAACCATAAAAAAAAACATGAATCGCAAATGTCTCGTCAAAATCAAGCCATAAGCATAAGGGCCCTATATGTCGTGAATTTATTAATCAAGCCATAAAAGACCCATAAATTGCAAATGTCACGTCGAAACAAAGTCATTTAAGACCTATAAAACGCAAATATCCCGTCAAAATCTAACATAGGCTTTAAGAACCCATAAATAGCATATGTCTCGTTCAAATTAAGCCATAAGGACTCATGAATCGCAAATGTCTCGTAAAAAACCCCACAAAGGATCTATGAATTTCAAACGTCTTATTAAAATCAAGCCATAAAGGGCCATACAACGAATCGAACTGATATGCATATTTAACAAAACAAATATCACTATGATCAAAATTTTCTCCAGATTCATGTTCCTTTCATTAGAACATTAGAACACTTTTTACATGTAAGTTTGTTGTGTCAAGTATAAAATGCTTTTTTGATTTTATGTTTACATCATAGAATCAAAATAACCACTGTCATATATTATGTTAGCCTTGATAACAAGAAATATCAACAATGTATCTATTATTGATGTTGCAGCTATTAGTCCTACCATTATGACTAAATTCATTGTGGTTATATATTGTAACAACGAATGAAATCAATAGCACATCTAATTGAAACTTATCATAAACAGTTTAAGTTTTGTATGATTTGAGTACTGACCTTGATCATACATAAGGTGATGCGCAGCCTCTGTTGGCAGAATGGTATACTTTTTCATAACATTGTCGTCCATAAGTGCTGACCCTCTAAACATAGAGAAACATCCGGGACTGCAAAGTACACACCCAAGAACATGCTCCGTCGCTTTCTGTAGCCAGTGAGCGATAGCGTACTCGAACTTTTGGAACCAAACAACAGGCCCTAAAACATAACATCAGTGATTTAAGGAATTAGTTCTTGTGCAATTAAGTGCGTCGTCGTTTTCATCGCGAAGTTTTTTTTGAAAATGTTACACTTATATTAGTGAAAAGCAGCATGGTCTTAGTTAGGGTATGTTATTCAAGTTTCAATACAGCTTATTTTGATAACAAAGGAGGGGTTTATGCATATATTTTGAAATAATTAATTAGATTAGATGAATGAATCGTATATTAACTAATGACGTACCTGTACCAATAGGATGTATTCTACCACAAGCAGCACCAACTTTCTCACTTTTTCTCATCCTGTCAAGAAGAAGGCGGACAGCCCCAGGAGAAAAGTCTACGTCACCATCGAGTGCCAACAGAAACGTGTTTTGTGCCTAGGGGAAAATAATCCTTTGGTTTTAATACCACAAAAGAAACTTAATATATATGTTTAATATACTTTATTTGAGCTCAAATCGTTTAATGTTAATAAATACACATTAATATAGGTACATAACTACCTTTTTAAGGACTTGGTCATCAAAGGCCTGAAATATATGACTTCTGCCAATTGCTCCACCAGGTGCACTTCCAGGTTCCCATTGAATTAAATCATTAATTTTCCCTTCGTTAAGTGCTGCTGAAACCGTTTCCTGACACATCCTTACGATCCGGAAACCCAGCAAATAGTACATGTACATGACCTAAATAACATAAAAAAAGAAAGAAAATACTTTGATGATACAAGCATTAAATTTATTTGCATTTTCATGGAAGGCTTCTTGACAGTTTTAGCATTTGTGTAAATTAACTTTAACATCAGGTCGCTTTTTTAACATACACAATACACTGAACACTTTCAACTACACAATTAACTAACCTGGGACCAACGCTTCCTGTGCCTTATTTTTTGTTTATCTTTCAGATGAATGAAAAGAAAATTGTCTCCTGGCATTGTATATATTAGCTGGCCTCCATATGGTGTAGGAACTTTGTAAGGTGCCCTTATTTTCATGGCCTTTTCATAGACACAACTGAAATGGAATCAATGGTCGTTATTCTATGTGATAACATGTAAACTCAACATAGAATGTATCATACAAGAAACATAAGTGCCTATAAATAATAACTAAACATGAAAGTACAGACATTTAACTATTCAGTTTTATCGGATTCCAATCTTGTATAAAAACCGGAGTTTCTTCCTCAGTTGTTATAATGCAAACGAAATATAACTTTGATGTAAAATGTGTTGATAGTACCTGGCAGCTTCATCCATGATGGTTGTACATAACTTTACAAAATCATTTGGCACCCATTCGTCATTATCATCCAAAGTCATTGCATCATCAAACAAGATATGCGCTGGAATATTTTCAAAAGACATTCGTTTTTAAGAGAAACAACCGCGATACAAAAAATATAGTACCCCTTAAGCTATTGACCTTTACACGGTTGTTTCAACTTGTTTGAGATTTAAACTTTTATAGGCCTCATCGTGATTGTTTTTTTTGTGTGTTGTTGTTTTTTTAATCGCACCTATACAATATAGGTTGTTTGACGACTTTTATCTTTTTTCATGCCAAGTGGAGGAAAAGATCAGAATCCCCCTGTACATTGTTTCAGACACAAAACAGCACCAGAGTAAAATCACCAACTTTCCGTAAGCTAGGTGGGCAGCATCGTGAATGTGTCTGTACAGTTATAGAAATATAAACAATTTATATATAAGGCTATTTTTCAAATAGTTTTACATGGAAAGTCACTAAACCTGTAAAGAAAAGGATGCCTACTCATATTAGCTTTCATAAATGTTAAGGTTACTTAGTATGGTGTTGTGTTGTCTTATTTAGGTATTATGCATTATTTTGGAATGGCACCCAAAATGCTAAGAAAATAATAAGGCCGCATTTAATATATATAGTTAATGAAACTGAAGTTGAAGGCCTCATGATTTATTTGAGAGGTATTTATACATAATTTAAAAGGTTTTTAACTTTTTAATTTTGTCATTTCTAAAATAGAGGACAACAAAACCCAAATGAACGCCTGACCATTGACGGACAAGGTGCACGGCCTCATTTTGCAGTATTTAACTCTTCTTAAGCAAGTGCTAGATGCGAACTTGAAAGCCAATATCGACCAATGCTTCCCATGTTCTGATCCAATCAAACCGAGTTTGCAATATTTTTATTTTCTTTTTTTAATGAGTACCTATTTTCAGTGTGTTTCGCTTCTCGGTATAAACGCTCTAAAATCTATTTTACAATCAAATAATTTTCTGACTTAGACTTATAAGTCGTCAGAATTCTTTAAACTATTGCAACAGCAATGGTTAATTTACTTTACATATACTACAAGTCATTTTGATAATTTACTTTACATATACTACAAGTCATTTTGATATTAAACTTAACACTTAGAAAATACTAATGTTAATTTAACAAATTTCCGAATGAATGTATTTGAGTTTATTTTAAATTTGTAGATTTCTTTTCATGCTTGCTTTGTGTGTATTTATCGATATCTTTTAATGATATACATGAAATATCTCACTGACTTCAGGATACATGGCTACACTAGAGTATTGCCATTACTTAAGTTTACATAATGTAAAATGTTTACCTTCAAAGTCATAGAAATCTTTATCTTCCTTCTGGAACACTTGTTCCGCATGTTTTCGGACACACTGATCTCTGTCCATTCTGGAACAAAGAATAAATAGTAGTTTCTAGATAACTTTAGTATAATATAATATATCAATATTGAGTGTAAATGCAATGTGTTCTACTTGCTAATCGGCTAGATTGTGCTTGAGTGTATCTTGCCCAAAAACCATAGCCCAAAATGTGAAGTATTTAATAAAGTGCCAGGGCTTCTGCGCATGTTATTATATCAAAAATATGCATAAGATGCTATTCTTACATTACGCCCCGAGTCACGTTTATAAGAAAAATCTCCACTAGCAGACAGTTACTTTCAAAATTTAGATGATTTATGATAATTATTCTTGCATAAAAAATTGCGCTCCAATTCTGTCCATAATCTTTATTTTCACCGAATCAGTGGTATCTTTTGTCTGTTTTTAAACTAACTTTTGTTTGTTTGTTTATGTTTTACTTCACACCGACACTGTATAGGTCATTTGCCGAAATTCCAGCTTTACTGGTGGAAGAAGACCTCAGGTACCGTTCTGTGTATTATTTCAGGAACGATTGGGCACCTGAGTAGAACCACCGACGTTCCTCACATGGAAGAACTCAAAGACCCTGTCGGGATTTGAACCCTACCAAGGGACAAGTGGTTTGAAGTCAACGACCTAAACGCTTGGCAACTGACGCCCCCTCCCTATTTACAGTATAGCATTAAGATATCTTAAGATCATTAATATTGTAAGATTGTGCTAACCGTTGTAAATATTATTTATACTACATAATATGCTGTAAAATTCATTCATTCAATGATTTTTATTTGAAAATAATTTAATCACTGAAGGGCAAAGATAACCCTAGATCGCTCGTTTGACCCATCAAACTAATCCGAGCAATTACTTAGACAAACATCCTGACCAAGTTTGATGACAATTTAGTCAAAAATGTGACCTCTAGAGTATGTTTTTTTATTTTTAGCTCATATGACTTAGTTTTTGACCCAAAACGACCCATATTCTAACTTAACCTAAAAGTTATCAAAACATCCTTCTTGACCAATTTCCAGGATCAAAACTGCAGCTACTAGAGTGTTTACACGAAATTTCTATTTTTAGCTTCTGTGACCTAGTTCTTGACTGGAGATGACCTATATTCAAATTTGACCTAGAAATCTTAATACAACCACCTTCATCAATTTCCAGAGTATTTGGATCGACAATACACTACAGTGTTAAATATTTTTCTATATTCAGCTCATGTGACCTAGGTTTTGACCCAACCAAGACGACACATATTCAAAATAAATCTAATAATCATTAAAACAATCTTCCTGACCAATTTCCAGAATATTTAGAACAAAACTGCAGTGTTAACTGAGGGTTAACAATTTTTTTCTATTTCCTGAGACCTAGTTTTGACCTGAAATGATCCCTATTCAAACTTGACCTGTATTTGAGTAAGATAACCATTCTGGCAAAGTTTAATTATCATCCAGTTAAAACTGTGACTGCTAGAGTGTTAACAACACAAATATTGACGACACACGAAGGACTACGCAGACACACGACGCACGACGACCTACTCCGGTCATAGCCCCATCACTTTGTGGTCAGTTAACCTAAAAATCGTTAATCGAAAGGTTTGGAAAATCGGCGACTTTTTTACATGGTAGTCCAGTGACAATACAGGTTTTACTTTAACAGTTTATAACTATAATTATGGAAGGAAGCAAGATAATATCATACGCCCAAAAACATTATCCGCGTAGACTAGAGAGCAACAAACCAACAATTATAATTATCCGCAATGTCATTGGGACATTAATTCGGGTTATTAATATCGACCCAATAATGAATCTCTAAAATACAGTTGTACAATGTATGATTGTTTCTCATTATAATTAAGGCCATGACTTTCTTTTAGTTGTATTGTTATAATATCTATTACGCTAACAAGTAATACGACAACCAAGATCTTTACCTGAATATAGATTTCATAAGCTGTAACATTTCATATTTAGTCTCATGCCACATTGTTGCACATGCGTATATCATAGGGGCATCTCTGAACTTTGGGTTTTTGTAATCACTCGCATAAATGTCCTCATTCTCTGCCTTATTTTCAGTTTGACTTGCAACGTCATCTTCTTCATTACCTTCGATATTAACCTTTGAGTTATATTCAGACAACCTGTTAGGAGTATAAATAATAAATGCCCTGATACTTGGAATGTCTACAAATTACATTTTGAAAGATTTACTAGATCAATGTACCAAATCAATTCGTCATTTAACAGCAATTACAAACATACGAGTTTTTTTGTTTGACTATGATACAAAAGAGAAAGGACATCAAAACACTCGGCAATCTAATTAATACTCGGGGGCTATGCCCCCTCTTACAAATCAGATAGCCTCGTGTTTCGATGCTCGTTCTATTACTTAAATCCTCGTGAAAATTTTTTACCTGTAATAAACCTTTTCATATTTTATATCCATGTGCACCTTCCTCGTGTGCCGTCGTCTGTTCAAAAGCAGATGCTGCTCAAAAAGAATTCCGCAATAGAACGGGTTCATAAACAATCTGAAAAGTACATTTGTATGCATGAGAATTTAGAAAATTGTAAAATCTCAATTCAGTAAACTATGAATTATTTGATTTAATCAAACGAAGTCATGTTGCATTCTAACATAATACAAATGTAATGGTTTATTATCTTTCACTGTTGTTTGCCATCATAAAATATGATAAGAATTTCTAAATCATTATATACATACAAAAGCTTTATATTACCTTTCGGTCTTTGCAAGTCTTTCGATATTTGGGTAAAATATATGTCTGCACAACCAGTACAATGATATCCACACAACAGTACCATAAACAAAGTGCAAAGGTTCATAATCGTCTCGGCATTGTCGTTCCTCTTCAGTAAACGGGTCCAGTAGTACTATTTCATGACATTCTAAGGCTGCTATTGTTACAGCTATTGGTGTAGAAAGTAGAAGAGGAAAATTGAACGAAAATCTTTGTAGCTTCAATTTACAAGCGGTATATCCAACATAATGTCCAACAAATGCAGACAATGTCAGTGCAATTATCGCCCCGCTTCTTGCCAATGGCAGGCTGTTAAGCTCCCCAAACGCTTCTGAAAATGTCACATTCGCAATAGGTTTGTGTCGGTTCTGCCCATCCGCGCTGTTTTCCTCGTAATATACCTTGATAAACCAGGAAAGCAAAAATGTCACACCGATCTTAATAAAACTTGTACATGTTGACATGATTGGTCTTGCCTCTTGGAGTTCAAACTTTGCTTTCAATATAAACCTTCTCCAACAGCCATTTGAATTTGTTTTTCCGCAAAATCTATCGTCAACGAAATTCTCCCAATACGCGCACGAAACAAAAAACATACTTACTATAAAATAGACAATATATGTTGTTTCGTTGTCTATTTTACTGTCATCGACAAAATGATTTGTTATTAAAACAATAGGTATATACGCAAATTGCACTAAAATTGTCAAGATATTAAGAGCAAAAACAATAAGTCTGTTTCTTCTTGACTGTTTTTCATCGCTCTTTTTAAGTTTTACATCGGAAGCACAAACCGGAAACAAAACTGCCGGTACAACACCAACTCCGCTCAGAAGCAAAATGCCATTCACCATGTCTAGTTCTGGAAGAACGATGAACGCCAGTATGCAAAGTCCTATCGAATGCATTACTTCGACTATTAAACACTGTAAGGGTAAATATATCAAAACAATAATAACTAGAGAGACAATAAAGTATCACGAGAAGAATTCTATTTTAAAAATTTCCTTTTTATATAAACATACGTTGAATGCCTGAATGTAAATAAATGTGCATAATTTATGCAATATATTTATATAATATATGTCATGTATTAAAGTATCCATGAGTCATAAAAGCTGTGTACGCAAAAAGGGTTTAATTAATAAAAAATAATATCATAAAGGGAGATAATTCAAACCCTTATCAATATCTATTGCTATGGTTCTTTGGACAAATTTTATATATATAATAAAGGGCGAAAAAGTATGCATGTCACGTTGGACGGATGGACAAGGCGACGACAATATACATTCCCCTACAGGACAGCATAGTATATTTAGAACGTTGTGGAATGCATTAATCTGTATGATATTTAATGTTTTAATGTTTTGGTGTGTTGAGAATTAAGTATGATTAAACAAATTGATAAATCAACATGGTAGAGTCTACGCTATAAAATGATATTTCAATATTCTTACCAGAAGAAAAGTTGATGGGCTCGGAAAAGGTAAGTTGTCAAACATCCATTTGAAAGCACTGCTCAAAAACGTCAGGCAGTAGGGGATGAGGATAGCTATGGTCAACAGAATGTGGTTCGCTGTAGCTTCTTTGCTTTTATCCTATATTTATAAAACACATTGAAAATACAAAATGTATTCTTGTTATGGTGTAGCATTCTTTTAACCATTGGAAACATTGACAAATGTAAAAAACAGAGAAATTGTCCTGTTGATTTTAATGTGCGAGAAGTGATATATACTGAGTTTCATAAAGAACTAGCATACTTGTTAAGTTGATATCTCAAACCGTATGAGGTACAACTCACTTGAACCCAAACCGTATGGGGTACAATTCGTTTGAATGAACCCTCCAAGCATTACGTCGTTTAGTCTATAAAAGAAATAGGTTTTACTTGTAATGACACAAAGTCCACAACAGTGAGAATTGTCAAGCAAGTAATCTCATATACAACGTTCTTATAAGTTTTAATGCCGAAAAGTGTTAATATAATTGTTTAGTGTTATTTGGACATTTAAAAACAATATATTTTAAAAGGATTCTAATGTAGAGAAATATGCAAACGTATACTCAAAGTAAAGTCTGATAATGTAAAAAGTCACATTGCTAGATATCACTTTAAACACTATTTGTAAATACACATGGCGTAGTTCTGCAAAATAAAGAATCTATTGACAGCTTCGCCCATCACCACAAACTTTATTGCTAAAAAGCATTGTTTACGGTAATCTCAACCTCCATGGTGGGACCACATAAGTTATTTAAAGCAAAAGAATGCTGCATTTCCTACATTGAGACTATGTACGAGTAATTCAACGTCAGACTTACAAATACCTCAAGATAATCGAAATATATATAAAAATATATAAAAACAAACACTATTTAGTGTTTCTGAATAACATAAATCTGGACACTTGTGTCAAAAAGTACCAAAATTAGCTCATGTTTAGGATAATATTAAAAAAGACAAAACTGTCAGTATTTCTGATTCTAGTATTTCAAACATAGAATTGTTCAATTTCGTCTGAGATTTGTCTTTTGAATAAAATGTTGCTTTTCTTCCTTTTTTTATTTTAATGCTTGAAACGAACATGCACTTGCCGATGAAACAGCTCCAACTTTTCATACACCCTTCATTTTACCAGAAGTTAACAATCTATATCTAATTTTGTGAATGGTAAAGTTGTCGCAAATACGGCATTCGCATCTAAGTTTAGAATTATACATAAAATAAAATAGCTATTATTTTGTTTTCATTAAAATACTGAAACATGAAAATTTATAAATGTGGACTTAATGATATTTCTGTCTTCATCTACGTCACGCACTTGCCGTGGCATTTCTACCACTAATACGCCACTAAAGTCATCACACAAAACATAAACGATTATACAGTTTGATTTTGATCCAGGGTCATAAAAAGACCGATTTTAGGGATGTTACATGGCTGCATGATAACATGTATTGTGTTTGCAAACAAGCATTCAAAAGTATCTTTCCATGAAATATGTATGTTTGTATTGCTTCCATGTTTGTCGACTTTCGCACAGTATTCGAAGTAAAGACGAGTTGTTTACCTTTAAGGGAACAAATAAAAAAAAAGGATTATCCTTCTGGAGCATTAAACAACAATTGCAGACAATGTCGGTTTGATTAAGTCTGTACATGAGAGTTCATGAGAGACTTGTGACTAAGACATTTTGTAAAATATATCAACCTGACATTACTTTTTAAAATATGCCGTTAATGCTGCCAACTGTAAAAAATAATTATTATCTTGTGGCCTCAAGATATTATCTAGCGTTCACAACTTACTTTAAACAAGAACTCCGCGATTCGGATGTGTCGCCTTGTGAACAATATAGTTTTGGAGAAATGGCCAGGACAAAAATGAAATATGAAAATTAACAAAGGGCAATAACTCAAAAGAAAGAAGTGCAGAGCAGCAGTTTCTGTGCACGGCACTTCTTATCAATAAGATCTATCATCCTATGAAGTTTTAAGTCTATAGCTTTTATAATTCTTAAGAAATGGCCTGGACAAAAATAAAATATGAAAATAAATAAAGGGTAATTACTCAAAAATAAGAAGTGCAGAGTACCGGTTCTTAAACACTGCACTTTTTCTTAGTGAGATCTATCACCCTATGAAGTTTAAAGACCATAGCTTTTATACTTTAGGAGAAATGGCCTGGACAAAAATAAAGTATGAAATTTAACAAAGGGCAATAACTCAAAAAAAAAGAAAGGCTGAGTACCGGTTCTTGTGCACTGCACTTCTTATTTTATAAACTTTCAAGTCCATAGCTTTTATACATAAGGAAAAATGGCCCAGACAAAAATAAAGTATGAAAATTAACAAAGGACAATAACTCAAAAATTAGGAGCTGCAGAGTACCGGTTCTTGTGCCCTGCACTTTGGGTCATTATAAGAAGCATGCATACCAAGTTTGAAGTCAATCCGACTTATAATGACTGATTTATGCTCCGGACAAGCTTAAGGGGACGCCGACGCCGACAACGACGCCGACAACGACGCCGATGCCGACACCGCCGACAAAAGTAAACCCTATATGTCGTCTTTTTTAAGGCAACACAAAAATAAAAATAGTCGAAATTTTAAATATATGACTTGAATTATGAAACAGAGTATTTATTTATAAGAATTGTGGACTTCTCAAAAATTTAACCACATTTTAACAATTTATCAGGACTACACCCTATACAAATGTTGAAACAGGTTAATAATCTATACTGTAATTGTTTATTCGTTGTATAATCGGCGAAAATCATAAAAGAAAATAACTTAATGTATTTTTCCATACAGTGACATAGAAAATTTGCTTTAAAATTTTATTTCAAGTACAACATGTGGATTATGATGACATTTCAGATTCACCATGCCTAAATCGATATAAGAATTTCTGTGCATTTTCAATGTTGATATCTATGCAGTTAACAAATTTGACTCAAGATAGTATTATAAAGGGCCAGTATATAAAAGACCTTATCAACCTATATGAAATAAATTGCGAAGATTTTTTTTCTCTCTCTCACTTACATATTCGTCAAAATACCTTTGAATACCTAGCTTACCGTTATTTTGATTAAAATGTGTGTTTTTTTTAATATCAATTAGCATTATTATATAAATGCATGACCAGGCTTTAAAAAGAACTTAATCAGCATTATTTACTGCTGTTATCTATGCTGTATTTCATTACTATTCAAATTGTAAAATATGACATGTGGACAAAGATTCTCCGTTTAACGACCATTTCAGTAACAAAGGACAGTACCTCAAAGCCCAATATAATTGCATTAGTCGATACTGATATCCCTACTGAAAGATTCATTTTTCTATAAACTTTCAAAGATAAATGTACATAATGATTGTAATGTATTTGGATGCGTGTTGGTTTTTTTTTAGAGAATAACATTTTCAGGAGTTCTGTATATATAATAAAACGCATGATATTTAATTATTGAAACAACTTACATCTACCAGAGACTGAGTATTATTATTTGTACGAAAGATGACCGGTGAAACAAGGACCATCAGGCTGAGTTTTTGAGCTACAGCACACCAGAGGACGGTACAGAACAGGAGTATATAGGTGACAACTTTGATTACTTGAAGCCCCCTGTCTTCATCTACGTCACGAACTTTCCTTTCACGTGCAATAATCTGGCAGACATCCCAAAAACTGTAAGATAATTGCATAACAATAAATATTCTTTACAACCTTGCCTGTCTTATGGGGTCGTGGACGGTAACTTGCACTTTCCAGTACCGTCACTTAACAGACTCAATCAAACCGAGCCTGCAACATTTTCAATTTTTACCGTGTTAGCTTTTTAAGGGATTCTGTTTTTCTCTATTTTATGATGTACATTTGAAATAATTGGTATAATAATCTGAAAGCAGCTAATCTAACGGTCATATACGGCTAGCCTTTACACACGGTCACTACCTGTACATGTATATACAGAAATTAATAAAGACAATAATAAAGAGAATAATTTGCATGTTTAATAAAATATTTATAAAGAATGAACATAAATTACAATCTTTCAAATAATTTCACTGATAATGCTTAGTCAATTTTGAAATATTAAGACAAGGAAAAAACAATGATTTATGAGGAAAAACATCGACTTTAAGATATTTTATAGAGTGTTCAGCAGCGAATGTAAATTTCCGATTATTACTGAAAATGTACTCAAAACGATCTTATGCAATCGTAAAACATTACATTACATGAACATCCAACAAACAAGAAATACATATGCAAACTGTTTTTAGGATAAGCGACTTTAAACAACCAGCTTGGAGTTTTAGAGAGTTTTTAGAGTTAAAGACGACATTTTCTATCTTATTTCAAATGCATTACATAATTATTGCCCAGTAGAAAATAGAAATGGCTTGAGTAATGTTTGTTTCTTTCATTTACATGTTCTTCAGGAGGAAAAATAAAGATTATCAAACTCTAAAAATTAATGGTACAATATAGTCGAAAATGCTTTCATATTATTCAATGAAATATTCCTCAAGAAACTTAAGTTTGCAACTTCATTGTCATTTTAGGTTATTTTATTAAAAAACGCCCTACGGTTAGTCTCTACATTGTATACAGGCCAGCCATACTTTAACTTTTGGCTACCAATTCGGGCCTATGCGGCTTGCTACTTTCTAGAGTTGATTCCCAGTATGACGTCTCATTACCAAGTTTTTCATTTGTATCCCTCTCTTTGATTTCGAGGGCTTTTTTCGAATCTAAATGGTTTTGAATATTCAAATATGAGCCCGTTACGGTTAAAACTGTTTATATGAAAATAAAAAAGTAATAATGTATCTTACGCTAGCTCAGTCTTCTTTTTGTCTTTTTCGTCATGTTTATCCATCTCTTTCCTCTCCGTATGTTCGCTGTCAATATGAACAACTGGAGAGGGTGGTCGAACAGAATCAGTAAACCTACCATCGTGTGGTACGGTGTCTCTTATCTAAATCATTGTTAAAGAAAATAATATTTAGTATTATATAAGTTATTTTATACTTACAGAAATCTTAATGTGTACATAAGCAAAGGTTGACATGGCATTCGAAAAATGATAAATATGATGTTCATTTTTATGCAGTCATAACTGAAATGAATAAATAAGATGGGGCTTAGTGAGAAGCAACACAAATTTGGCGTTAGTACATACCCCTTTAAAATTATATTCTGTGTCAGAAAGGGATGATGATGGTGATGAATCACCCGACGAGTAAGAAGGCGGATCACTATCATTGCCGGTTGCCCCTGTCTGTGATATCACCGATGTACCTAAACCTCCTTTTGAAGCACCCAAACCTCCACTGGATGTACCTAAACCTGTTCTGGATGGACCTAAACCTCCATTGACTGTACCGCTCTGTGATAAATATCAAACATCCCAAACTTAAACCACGAGAGTCAAGACATATATAAATAAAATAAATGTATCCTAGTAAAAGTATTTTTACAGAACGATAAGGAAACCTTGAGAACGGTTAAAGACACTATTCATGTTTCTATCGAAAACATTACAATAAAGCTTCCTTCTCTAATATAAAAGCCAGTTTACTGCATCAAGTCGATAAATAGTTGCTACAGAATGGGTCATTATTAGAACAAATTTAAAGGTGCAAGTAACATATCTATAAAATATACCAATGTTGAACCCAGTTTTCTTGTGTGAGTGTTTCACGTATTTTTTTCTCCTCCTCCTCTTTGCGCCGCTTCTCTTCCTCTTGCCTTATTCTTTCCAATTCTTCCCGTCTCTTTCTCTCAGCTTCAATGCGTTTTTGTTCCTTTTTTATTTCCGCTATCTTCCTCATACATCTAGTAACTGTAGCAGCAGCTGTTCTTTGACGACAACGCAGTATTTGCTCAAACCAATCATTTAGCTCGATCGTCATGAATATCTGATAAGATATCGTGTAAATACAAAACCATACATTTTACACACGTTTTAATTCAACAAATTACCAGTCAGCCACACCCTATATATGCTTTGCAACTTTAACATGCTAATATGTTTGTTTTGATTTAAAACGATTTAAAATAACTTTTGTAACAATAAACCACATTTGCCACTAAGTTCAATCTTAGTTTGTACATGGTTACTGCTGTTGTTTATCTACTTGCATTGATATTTGCCATGCTTATGTCTAGAGAAGACCAAGCGCAGTCAAGCCGTTACAGGACGCCTTGCGGTTGCATTACTAGAAGCTAGTGGCGAACAAAAATTATGTAATTTGTGTAAATTTTACTTGGAAAGACTTATGTTTTGTGTTCGGACAAGCGTTTGTGGGATTATTCTCAAATTTCATTGACAAACCAAGGTGCTGGCATTTCCTCGGACATTACTGTAAACTCTTAGTTTGCATTAGTTGTAAAAACGATTTGTTTAAATCATTTTTTTTTTTAATTTAGAGTTTTTCTAAACTGATGTTAATTGTTTACAGTGATAAATACATTTAGTTATATTATAAATATCTTAATAATTGAGTTATTGTCGATCATTATGTCGTTATTTTTTATCGATCGAGAGGGGATTAGACATTGTATTCGGTTTTGTTTACACTTTGAACTTTAACCATGACTTCGGTCGTACCTCCCGTGACGGAGTAACTGTCAGCGGGGCCGATTCATGATCGGGAAACTAATTTTTGGAAGAATATCATACAGTTTTTCAGTCCACAAATGATTGGTCTGGAGTTTTGTGGTAATTGGTTCTGCCCTTAGAACTTGGCAATTCCAGTTTTGCTTTGCGGTGTTTGGTGTTACCCTACAACGGCATGGAGTTTCAAAGTCATTAAGGGAGACCCCAATTCGATATCATTTGCGGTAATTATTTTGACCGATGAACCCGGTCTTTTGTGTTTGCGTTGCGTTTGAGTGATAATGTTTGCGGGTTTAGTTCACTGTGATAGTTCTTGGAATAAAGCAAAAAGTTCTTAAATGCAACAAGTTCGGTTTCCTAAAAGTCGATTTCATGTAAACACGGGCAACTCTGTCAAATGTGAGCGGCAAAATCATTCCAAACTTGAAAGAAATTTATAAGTTGGTTATTTGGACATTTGTAGCTTTGTTAAATTAAATTGTTTCAGTGGTGTGAACTTGTCGTCATGAACTTACAACAAAATAAAATGGCATTTTGTTTTATTTGTGTTTTATTTCAAATATTTTGAAAAAAAAGATAATTAAACGCTTAACAATCACAAATTATCTTATGACTGAGACAAAATTTCGGTTTCAAATTGTTTAGAAGTTATGAATTCAAGTAACGGAGAGAAAAAACATACCCTTGATGTACCACATCTGAAATCTCTATGGAAACTAGATGGGACTAAACTAAGGACGCTTTGATTAACGTCCGCCTGTCTTTCAAGCGGTGGAGACGGAAATAAACCGCGGTATCTGAAATTATTTCCCGATTTATTAGACAATGGTAGTAAAAGTATTCATAATACAATCGTATCAAAATCAAATACAAGCAGCAATAAAAAAAAATAAAAAAAACTGCTATGTTTAGAGATTTTTATGTTTAATAGTGTATTTTACAGATTTAGGTAGTAAGAGTTGAGACATTTTATTCATCATTTATATTTATATATTATATATTTCATATGTATTTAATATAATGACAATGGTAAAAAACTACGTCCCCGTCCCTTGAGCCTTGTGGGGTTGCCTTTAAGGGTTTAGGCATCAGAATTGGAGCCGCCATTTATCCCTGCGTTATCGTAAGAGGCTACTTAATAGCCTTGAATCACTGAATTCTATGCTATCTCTTAGTTTAGCAAGCACTGTGCTTTGGACCCCAAGTGTTGCTTTATGTTTGTAATATCCGTGGTTAGCCAAAAACATATGACCTGTTCCGGCACCAAATAACTTAAATTATCCAGGTGTGTATTAAAACTTTACAAAACATAAACAAAACAAAACTGAGCCATCGCATTAATTTCAATAATAACATCAAGGGTTCTCACGAAGGCACGCACGCTGATACTCTCAACTCTCACTGATTTGCTTATATACAAACCTTGATAAGAAATCTGTATAGTATTTGCGAACTGCAAAACCCATCTTCCTAATCTTTGCAATTTCTGCTAATCCATTGTATCGTAATTGGTCTGTGACAACATTCTGGTCAAAGTCGTTCGCCGCAAGATTTGAATTGGCTTTAATGCACCTTTAATTAAACGGAAGAATTAGTTAGTATTGCAAATGAAAAATACAATCAACTGATACAATTTCTCTTCATATGTGATATAACTTATATCCTTAATAAGAACACATTTAAAAGTAATGTTACCTCAACAATTTGGGAATTCATTAAAATCTTGCAAAATGCAAATGTTAAAATTCATGTAAAAACAAGTTAACAGGTTAAAAATTGAGAAAGGACCGGAACGCCGATCAAAACAGCAAAGTTTAAAATATTGCGGTTTGTAGTGAAACTTGAAAGTTGTCATATGACCTATACTGTGTTGGTGCGACGTAAAACTCAACTAAACATTCTCTTTGGAATTGAAGCATTTTATATTAAGAAACATCAGTTGATGTGCACACAAAATTTATAGCACACTCAATGGTCAGACTTGTTGGAATTGGTTAAATTAATTAAAGCTCGTTGATTTCTTCCTTATAAAGATAAAGTTTGATATCTCACCTGACAAAAAATGGGTCCCCATCACCTAACTTTTCTAACAACTGCATCAAAGAATTCTAAAAGACAAATATATACAGGTCAATGATATTACGTAACATTGTCTAAAATGCCGAATGTATGGTGGCATATTTCTGATAACAGTTAACCATCTAATTATCGCGTTGATTATATATCTAACAAGTTTTCGTGTCAACACGGCAAATACCATATATTTATCAGCCAAATTAGACATTTGTTCTGTTAGATAGATAAATTACGAATAAGTATCTGACTTCCAAAAGCACTTAAATGTGCCCAGAACATACACTTACCAGTTAAATAATATATAATTATCTGTTTATCTATAAAACATGTGTTAACTGAAGTACAACTAGATAAATTATCAGATGATAGTTAACACGGTTATTATATGGTAAACTGTTGACAGAAATATACATCTATATATAAGAAACCCAAAAAAAAATATTAGGGTTTTTTTTAACCCTTGCCCGGTCCCCGGGATGATAAATTGGGGAAATTTTTGTCCTGTTTTTGCAAGGAAATTTTTAAAAAAGCTGAAAACCCCGGGCCTGGATTTTTAAATTTCTGCCCAAAACTTACTATTTTAAGCATTGAATACCTTATGCATTGAACATGAAATATACATTTATCAATACTTATATAATTATATAGTTAGCTAAGAATCATAATTCAAAACTTTTACGAAAAAGCTATAATGTATTCACTGTCTGAATATAAGATGTTTTTATTATTATGCTAAATAACAGAGTCCTGTTTCATATGATGTTTAATAGAAAATTCAAATAAATTTCATTTTAATTCATTTTACCTGGAAAAATGAAACAAGCGTCGAATGTTTTTTCCCAGGAGTAATCTGTGTCAATTCCCGTGGCTGTGGCTGTTGGACTGTCCCAAACTTCTTCTTCAAACTTTTACCTATTTCCACTGCTAGAGCCGCTCCTGCCGGAGTTGATTTTAGTTTGGGCTTACCTGGAACCATCACTGGTACTCCACGCCGCGATGGTCGAAACTGAAAACCTGGTTCCCTAAAATAGGAGATTATTATCAAGTTCCATTCCAATTGTAACGTGTCGCAGAAGTACTGAATTAATTTTTGTGCTTTTGTTAGGATAAAAAGTAACTTGTTATAATTCATACTAGCAGGACAACTTAATTAAAGTTTGGCCATAAACATATTACTGACTGACATTGGCAACTGTTTCACATTCGGAGTAACCGATTTAGGTCTCTTTTACAAATTTTTACATACCGACATGTAAGCAGAATTGAAAATGGAATCCCGAAGAAAGTCCAAAACGACAAAACGTTCTTTGGATAAAGGAGTCTAAAGTTATTAATAGAATCAAACCATCAACTCTGCTATTGATTGCTTAATGACTTTTTTTTGCATGCCTCTGTCGCATTGGAACACCAGTGGTTTAGCGTAAGTATAATATGGTTAACAAGATCAACAAGGCAAGGCGGCGTGCAAAGAACGCAACCCCGACACGACCAGTCCAGTGAACCAGAACCACAAGAACCAGTGGCAAGGAGCCCAGGATGACCCAAAACAAAAACAGGTCAGGGCGAAAGCAAGGCTAAAAAAAATCTCATATCAATAGTCGCCATTGTAAATACGCTTAACTCACTTAATTTTATTATTTATAAACTTTTTGAAATAAACGTTTACATTGATATTGTTCCAGTTGGTCCTCTTTTAATAGTAAATAGGTCAGCTATGAAGTCATCTTTGCTTTCTCTCAAAGTCTGAACAAGTTCAGGATTCAATCTGTCTCGGTTCTTCTCTAAAAATCCGTCGGCGTTGTACGGAACCTTTATTTTACAAACATGGTTATCATATTTATAGGACTGAGAATATGAATGATTTGACTCAGAAAGGAAGTTTATTATTTATAAAATAAACACGTTACTTAAACATATTATTCATAAGATAAACATATAACTTAAGCATACTCTTCATGGTCGATTCAATGACAGGATAAATAATCAAAAATAATATATTGTGTAGTGTTTTATCTACGTTTCCTCTACTAAAGGAATCGTCTATAAAATATCAAAAAATGGTTTCAGTTATTTTGGTGGCTTTATCACAGAGAGCAATAGAAAGTCAAAACATAATTTAGGATGAAATGCAACCATAGTAATCGGTTTTTAAGGGCAATGTATGATGTTTTAACAATTTAAGCATTATTTGATATGTGACATTAAAAAAAGAAACACTACTTGACAACGTACCAAAGCCGCAAAATGTTGTATACAGAAAACTGGGTGGTCTCCAGGTGGTTGTATGAACAGTTTATTTTGGCCAAATTTCTTTTTCAAGTGATCAACAAATCCGCTATCAGAAGAATGTTGTATGTTGGAATTCTCGTCCAGTATTGCTAGAATACCTGACTTTGGCTGTAAATAAAAACATGACTAATGAAATAACCACATGTGAAGCGTTATTGTTAATAGTCTTTATGGAGCTCCACTGAGGTCTTTAACGCATACAGTTAATGCATATAATTTGAAGATCTTACATAGATCAACACGGAAAGTATATGAAAAAAATGATACAGAAATATACTCATAACAAAGTTCAATTTCGTTATTTACTGATACTCAAAGCCTGATTGTAGTTAAAGACCTTAAAATGGTTATTTAATCTTTAGGTCATTTTGCAGAACGAAAATCATTATTCTTGAAAAATAAAACGAGCAAATGACTTGGAAGTTGGCAGACAAGTGTTGGTATACATACACCTACATAAAATGTTGAAAAATGTCAAAAAGAATACATACATCCAGTCCCGTTTCTTTAGAAGACATTGAAAACTACATTGTAGGCTACTAATGCATGGTTTGATAATGGAAAACAATTGAATATGGTATAAAGTTTTAATTAGTTGGGTTTTTTGTTTACCGTTTCAAACATTGCCAATAAATCGTCATTGTTTTCGAAATGTATCCCATCCAGTTCCACTCCCTCAGCCTGGTATATTTCTAACTCCATCGTAAAAATCTTTCTGTTCATGAAACTTTGAAGTTTTTCGTTAACTAGATTTATACACAACTGTTCAAAGCTATTATTCTGAAGCTTTTCAAAGCCGGCAATATCCAAAATCCCGATGCTAGCAGATATGTTTGATCTAGAGGCAAAAAGAAGTGTTTACAGTGTTCTGTTCAAAAATGAACTTTAAGAGTTTTATCACTTTTTAACCAAACCTAACGTCTTTTAAAAATATGTATTTCCCATCTTAAACTAACATGAATTGATCTCAGAAAATCAAATTAAAATAAAACAAAATGTACCAGTTATTATCTATCCATTACAAACTAATCCTTACATGTGTCTTTAAGAACTACACTTTTAGTGTGACTGCATGATATTTTCAAAACAATATCGTATTACAGCTGAAAAAGGTAAAGCTACGATCTCAATTTAATGATAAATTCCAAGTTTGATTTTTGTAGATGAAACTGAAAAGACAAAAGACTTACCCAAGCCTGTTCGGGTGAAGATCTTTGTTTATCATTCTAACCAACCAGCCAAACATTCTTTCATACAACATCTTAGCAAGCGCGTCACGGCCGTCATTTGCTTGTTTTGTTGTTTTATGAGTTGCCACATAGTCATCTGAATTAATAATAATATATTACAAATGCTGTCCGTACGAAAGGAGACAAGCGCGCTCGACTATTCTCAGTGTTTGACAGTAAGAAAAGGGTCATAAGTCTGTAAAACAGTAACTCAGAGTTATGGAATCTGTGTCTATCAAGTAAGATGATCATTGAGAACAAGCGTGTACAGTTTCAACACATATCTTTTAGTAGTTTTGGAGATACCAACTCGTACACAAAAACTTAATCAAAATGTAACAATGGATGAGTACAATAGCATCTCTCGCTATTTTTCGAAAAGTTGAGCTAAAATTTGTTCCTGCTGCCACTTTTGGCATCATTTAATCACTATTTATTTGTCAACTATAAGTTCGGTGAACCTAGTGGTGAAAGAATCTACATAAACTTCTATGGATTATGCATTGGAATATCAATTTAGTAACAGTTATATTTTCTCATATGAAATCAATGCTGTTCTGGAAGCAGCCTGGAACGCATCTGATTTAAGCAGTGTAAATGTGTTTACACCTCATGCAATCTTTATATTGTCTGGGGATTAATTGGATGCTGAATCCTGTCGATAAAAGTTTGTCATTAAATGAATAATTATTTGTTATAATACAATGAAAGCCTGTATTAAGTACTGATAAAATTTATAAGATCAACAAGTTTTTTTGAAGAGAGTCATAGAAACATACTAAATAATCTTTTGCTATAAATATGAGTCGTTGAAAATTCGTTTAAACGATTTATATTTAAGGATCTAAACGTCAAGGGTGTCCGTGGCCGAGTTGTTAGGGTTGCATACTTCCGACGAATTGCCCCTCACCGCTATCAGCACGAAACCCTAACACAACAGAGGTTTGCTTTGTTTCATGCGAAGAAGCTATCCAGGTAGTTTGAGGAATGTCGGTTGTTGTACGCGTGTGCTCGTTTGTATCTGAAAAAATGCTCGGTCTTTCTACACCAGTAAACATAGAACGTCGCTATATTACCCATAACAGTGTTAGTGCGAATAAAAAACTTACCTCTAACTTTCCGCTTGCTTGTAATAAGCGCCTCGCCGAAAGTGATTTCATCAAGCTCCAGCAATATAGCGGCTGCAAAATAAATTATGATTATCCAATCAAAACATCGGACATCCAAGTCTAACAATATAGCTTCTAAATTATGTAGGTTTTTATATTTTGATAAATGGATAAACGATAGAGAGTTAATGCGCGACGAAAGTATAAAGTAGCATAATTTCCACCAAGGGAACTACTTTTAACTGTGAAACAGACGAACTACTGAAAAATAATTTGTACAAAAAGTAGGCATATTATTTCTTTTCATTTTTTTATCAACAATAATTAGACTTCAATAGTTACCATGAGCAAACGGAGCAACATCCTTTACTTGCGCAGCCCCTCTGTTGTCTTCTTCAAACTCTATCTCCGAAATGAGTACAACCGCTGCTAACATTCTAATGAGAACTTCCCTGTCCTGAAAAAGGGCATTTTCTTAAAGCGGCCTTTAGCTTTTATTTAATGTTGAAAGAACAATTCTGTGTTGTTTCAAACTCAGTATTTCAGTTATAATTTATTTTATCTTCGAAAATTGCATCATACCACTGTGAGGCCTACTTCAAAACAGCGTCCCCAGAGTTATTTATAGGGCGTTAGTGTCGTTTTTTTCTTAACATTGAATATCAGAAAACGAATCCACCGCTTTACTACTTTACATACAGAGAGCGGACCGGTAGATTAGAGGTATCGACGGGTTTTATTTCTTGTTTAATATACTTTATCGACGGCAAATTTTATTTTTCACCTTAACCTTTTTGATATGACAATTATATAAAACGAATTTTCTTAGAATAACATATTTCAACTTTAGAAAAGCTGAAGGTCGCTTTAAATTAGAGGCGCTCTTTCGTCACATAATTTTTCGTGTTCAAAGACTACTAGTTGTAATGGGGCATACATGCAAGTCGCCATTTGAAATTGTATTTCTCAAATTATAAGTTTATAAGGGACATAACAAAAATGTTCAAAATAAATATAAATTAGGTTACAGTATAAAGTGGCGGATGCCACTTTGACACGGTAATGTTATGCTTTTCACAAGGCACGGAATGCGATATAAAAAAAAGACGAAACACACGCAAAAAGAAACTCAGTAGTAAACCTAACACTGTAAGGCCACAGGAAAGTTAAAAGGGTAATAAATGTTTATCAAAATGCATGTAGCTATATATGGTTTAAATTTAAATCGATAACATTTTTGTGAGCTTTTCTTTAAAATTATATATTTTGTTGTAGTTACTTTGTGATTTTATTTTATTAAACTTCTGCAAAAACTTTGACATTTTATCAAATGAATCCCAATTTGTTTTTCAAATAAATTTTTTTTGGCAATTGCCCAACTTTTAAAATTTATCTTCTTAAATGGGTTTTTTTCCCAAAAAGGTTATACTAAATCGTCTCCCATTATTCTAATTGTTAGATGATAAATAAATTGAAATCACAAACGCAAACGTAGACAATTATACTTCTAAGTAATATTGAAAAAATAAATAATACGGACTAAAAAGTTCGCGTATTTGTGTTAATTCTTTTAACATAAAGACACATTAAGTCTTTTCCAAAAGACTGCTGCTAATTCGCTTTTTTTTGTTTAGTTTGTAATGTTGTTTTTTTTTTTGTTACATTTAATATGCAAATTAAACCATAACATGCAAATGACGTAGTATTCAATATGCAAATGATATGAAAATATGCAAATGACGTACAAATAGTAACGCCTATAGGTAAATAATGGATAGAGAATGACTATATAATGTCAATAACAGAGAAACTTTGAAAATATAGAATAAAATAAAACAATGAATACTTTGACACAGGTTTTACGAATTTATTCAAGGTATTTCTGGACCAGCCCTCGTATATAACAAACCACTAAAACCAAAAACTTAATAATAAAAAAATATTTCCACCTGTTTTTAACTTTCTTTAACTTGGGGGTGTTTCATTCCAAGGGAAAAAGAGGGTTTTTCCCAATCCCAGGGGGGAAAAAAACTTTTTTTTTCTTTGGTTTGTGGGGGCAAATCCCAGCAAACATTGCGTAGAATATGTGAAAGTTTCCCTCTCCGTTATTTTGATGAACTACCCTGGATTTCTCTAACATGTAGTCTCTAACGACCGCTGATTTAATAAAAAGAAAGATCAAGTGCAATTCCTTATTCCAAATTTGACATTAGATTATCATCTACTGAACACTTATTGTATTAAAAAGGGAAAATCAGTTAATGATCTATATTCTGTAGCCGTGTAATGTAAACATCATATTAACCAAAGAAAGTATATTATCAAGAATGCATTATATTTAACGATCTGCAGTATAAAAGATAAAAAGAAGAAAGATGGGGGAGAAAGTGGGCGGATGAAGCGGTTCATTAGAATCAAATATTTCAAATACTATAAATCTGTATCAAAGTTTTCAAGAAAAGAATTTAAAAATCCCTGTAACCAAAATAGATTTTTCTACTGACACAGATCAGCAAGGCAAGAGAACGCAGCCCTCGACACAACCCTGTCACACTGGTACCCAGTAGAGAACCGAAAAGATGGTTGTAGGCACACGTGCGGAAAAAGAATGGGCGGGACCAAAAGTATGAATGAGATCACAATAATTATAAATGACGTCATAATGACAATAACATATATTGTAATAATTACCTCCTGCGAGTTCTCCACCTTCTTTGAAGCTGATTTCCAGGTATTTAGCGTATCTACTTGAGTTGTCGTTCATTATTGTTTTAGCATTTCCAAAAGCCTCCAGTAGAGGGTTGATCTAGAAAATATTATTAAAGTGCTAAATTTTAAACCTTTATCTAGCAAGTCTAATTATTTTACAATTGTAATCGAGATGTTGGATTTTATAACTATAATTTGCATTTTGATACTTCAGATGTTACTGGTCGAGTTACATTTCTTTCTCATTTACTAGCTTCAAGCAGTTAAGGTTTCCTATTGAATATTAAATATTGTCGCTGTTGTTTTTTCTTTTCTTTCTGTAATAGGGGTTTATAATGCATTTTGATCATTGTTATATAACACATCCTAATGAGTATGCTGCAATATGAATTTATATCAACCCATACCCCTCAATGCTGCGGGTGCGAATCCAACCAGAGCTTTTTGATTCTTTTATGTGAAGGAGCTTTTCATGTAGTTAACGAAACGCCAGTGGTATTACTCCGGTGCCTGTTCGTGCGTGAAAAATTGAATTGAGGGTCGCCCGAAGTCGCCCTCCACCAGTAAAGCTGGTAGGTCGTTATATGAATTTTACTATGTTGGCTCGATGTAAACCCAACTTAAAGCAAATAGAATAATATAAAAAAACATCCGTGCTCACAGACCAGTACATAGATTTTCATGTAGTTACCTTGACGATTTTTTCATGTAAAACCATATCTCCTTTCTGACACATATGTACCATATGTTTGACCATATATTTTGTGCTTTCTGTCTTGCCGGCTCCACTTTCTCCAGAAACAATGATGACCTATATATATATGTATACAGGAAAAGCATTTGTAAGAGAATACAATGCAAATGACAAAAAAAATCTATTGCTTTAATGGACAACTAGTGCATCTTTTTTGTATATCGTTTTCATCATGTTACATGATATTTTTACCAAAAATGTTACTGCATTAAAATATTTATGCAAGCATAATGGGAAAAATAGTCATATTGGAAAAGCAATATACCAGTGCCATTGGTCATTATTTACCTGGAATACAGTATATATTTATTATTTAAATATTGATTTATTTAACGAAAAAAATAGCAAAATACATTTAAATAGATGAAAACAGAATCCCTAAAGAACGCTAAAAACGACAAAATTTGAAACGTTCCAGGCTTGGTTTGATTAAGCCTGTTCTTGGACGGTACTGGAAAATGCAAGGCACCGTCCATGACCCATAGCATCGGCTTAAGCAGAATGGACACCTCTATGAAGCACTATGTTACTGTAAACAAATACCAAGTCACCATCACCCTAAAGGCAAGGTAGGTTTTATTTCCTATGAAAGAAATAATGTTACTTGTTAGAAAATATCCGTAAATAAGACATAGAATCATATCGTAGTTGCTGTTTTCTAAATCGGGTCAATTTCCTTTTAATTTCTTTTAAAACATTATGGTTATTGTATACCTGATTCGTGTCATTTTCACGCATGCGTCGGTAGGCTGTTGCGGCAACTTGAAAAATATGCGGCTCTAAATCTGTTCCGAATTTGTCAGCATTGTATTTATCATGAATCTATAAAACAAACATTTTATTTTATCTTCATGGATTATTCATTATTATAAATATTGTTAACAAGCCTATGCTTTCGCTATCTGTCGCCTTATCAAAGTGTCCTGAATAGTAAGTGACGCTTATTATCCCCCGCCGAATGAGCAAACACATTTGGCGAGGGATGGCCATGTTGACATGGCTCTTGTTGAAATGATATTTTCTTTGTTCGAGGAACGAACTGGATGGACTTTTAGTCACTGTTAAGATTTTCAGTTACGTGTGACATAATAAACGATATTTAATGTAGAATTTCATCATTGTGGATAAACGATATCAATAGCATGTCATTATAGACGTCATCAATATGCACCACACCTTGCGATTGCATGTACTTCCTGCTTCTTTCTAAGGAAGCTATATATTTTAACTTGCACCTTTCTTGCCAAACCAGGAAGGGCAGTCGTTTATCCACTGTGTTTATTAACACTGTGTTTATTAACTCTGTAACCGACCGGATTATATCGATAAGTTCGTACATGTAATCATAAAATTGTTGTATGTTTTATTAATTGGTAGATTGTGAACATATTATACAATAGAGAAATTGTTAAATGGCATCAAATAAAAGTGTCGGTACTCTATTGTATCAATGTAAAATTAATGTCGTTTTAATATATAAAATATGAAGAAATAGTGTATATATATCGATGTATCATCGATTACTTAAGTTTTATATTAGTTTTAATAAATGTGACAAAATAAACTGAAGAAATGAACGAATCCGTGGGGGAATTTATATACATGTAGTTAACAATTACTAATCTTGTCAACTTACATGTAAAGGAACATTTTTACCGTACACGCAGTAGGTGCGTCCCTAAGAAATAATTATACAATAAAATGTACACTTCATAATGAATGTTAAGATCTTTATCACTGAAACTTTAAATCGTTTTCCTCATTTTGTATAAAAGGCAAGCAAACAGAATCTGAAACCCGAGACTAGATGAATTAATTAAAGTAAAGATTCAATTTTAGATAAAAGATTTTACTTTAAGTGTATTGTGTCGAAAACATGAATTGGTACAGCTGATGATATGTTCAAATCACAAATAAATGATATAAAAACTATGTTTTCCTTACTACATGTTATTAATCAGTTCTTTTTTTTTCCCGAAATTAGATATATATCCTTAACACGGATTGGTGTAAATCGTTTGTACGTGAAAATGGAAAAATATAAATTCGAAATTACCCTTAAATGATTTCAAACAATTATTTTAAAAATACCCATATTTTTGCTCGGTTATCTTGAGATGTTTTAGATAACATCTTTTTAAGCCTTACCTTGCAAGAACCGGAGGTGATTACATTTTGCCTGACCAGGTTCTCTACTTTTGGCAAACTTTTAATTTTCAGCTTGATATTACAAAATTGATAATGGACAGTTCTAAAATTAGAGAGATTGGACCAATCTCAACTTTTCGGACATATCCGTCAGTCTTTGGATAAGGACCTCGAACACAATAGTATGAATACACAGAACAGATTCGGTATTTCGGTGTTTTTGTTTATATCTAAAACAACGTGGTAGAACTCCTTTCAATTCGATTGAAACTGGACAAGTCCATTTTAGAAATTTTGCAGGGTAAAGGTTAAAACGCAGTAAAAAACTTAAACATTACATACCTCATCGTCATAAATCTTCAGCTGCTTGCGGGGGTTGACGGCAATTAATATGTCGCTAATGTTTGTCTGAAAGAAGAAACAAACAACATGGTAAAAAGTCAACAGAATGATCATGAACGTTCTTTTTTAAGGGAATAAAAATCAATAGATTTGCAAGTGTTATCAAAACACAATGAAATTTACAAGGAAATAAAATCAATAGATTTGCAAGTGTTATCAAAACACCTTGAAATTTACAAGGGAATAAAAATCAATAGATTTGCAAGTGTTATCAAAACACAATGAAATTTACAAGGGAATCAAAATCAATAGATTTGCAAGTGTTATGAAAACACAATGAAATTAACAAGGGAATAGTATTCAAAAAATTTACAAGTGTTATCAAAACACGATGAAATTTACGAGAGAATTGAAAACAATAAATTTGCAAATGTTATCAAAATACCATGAAATTTACCATGAACTTTACAAAGGTGTCAATTTTTTTTAGTTTTGCTTAGTGTATTAAAAAATCTTTACACGAAATTTAGAAAGGAATCAAAATCTAGAGTTTTGCAGGAATATTGAAATTCCCATTGTGAAATTTGCGAAATCCACGTCGCTACATAACATACCATTTGTTTAAACTTGTATATGACAAGAGATACTTTCTAAATAATTAAGGACAATTACAATTAAGATGTTTTCAGATCAATGACTTGATTTTATGCTGTATTATTACAATGTTTATGAAAAAAATATCAAGAATTTATAAAGCACCCATTTAAGTAATTTGTTACTCGTAGAAAGAATAATTATAATTCCTACTTTTAGTTAGTTTGGATACTTATAGTGGGGCGGGAAATAAGGTCTCTGCTGTCAAAATAGTGCAAATTGTGATACAAGCATGAAACTTTCAGGAAATCATCTTTAGACCATGTAGATTTTAAAAGTGAAGTGGGCCCAAAAATATCTCTGCTCATACAAGATGGCCGCCATTTTCAAGATGGCCGCCATACAAATTTGATGTATATAATATATCATTCATTCCAATTTTTTGTACAGACCTGCACCCTACACTTAAGCATGCATATAGTTTCTCCTTTTCAAAATTTATTTTTTTTTAGCAATTTCGTTTGCATACTTCTTCAGAATCCAAAATGGCGTCGAATATGGCTGCCAATTTTATGCAAAACTGATATATCTCTTTTGTAGTGTAATTATTTGCACAAAGTACGCTTATTTCCATATAAAATTGTTAAACATATAAGAAAAAAAAATTTAGGTAAAGCACATTGTTAGTCATGTTTTTAGTTTTTTGTACAAAAAATCTTTTAAAACATCAAAGAAAAAGTGACATTTTTTGCATTTTTTCTAGGTCTATGTACAGAATTCCGAAAGTTACATAGTTTCTTATAGTGTATTTAATATTCAATCAACACTATGTTTTATTGTATAATTGTAACAAAAACATAAAATGTGAAAGTTTTATATACTTATTCAAAGTGGGTGGGGTATATTTATCCGACAATTGTAATACAAAATAACGTTTTTTATATGAATTCTTATGCAAATATTCACTGTAAAAGTATTTTATTGTATTAAGGTAATTTTGTCTTCCTTAGGGACTTGAAGGTGTGCTAAAATATCAATGAATGCAGATAGAATTATATGTATACATTCAGTTATTAAATGTGTTTGCATGATATAAGTTGTTTCAATATTCTTAATATAATTTGATAATTGTACAGAAAGAAGACTGAATATTCATCAACGAACCATATGTTAGATAAAATCATGCCTGGACCTGAAAGAAATGTTGTCTATTTATGAATACAATTATTTCCTGCACAATTTAGTCTTGCCAATAGTTTGTAACAGAATGATTCAAAAATATATATTTTTGCACATATTTGTTACCAAGTATAATTGAATAAGTACTGTTCATTTCTAATAACTTATGTAGACATGATATTTTCAAAAGATACAAAAATTAAGGCGACTGATACATCATATTATCTTTGTGTGGTGAAATATGTATCAATAACATCGTTTGACCGAAATAACATAGCTTATGATTTGAAATATAAACTAAATGTATTCATACTTTATTTTCTCCATTAAACAAGAGATAATTGTTGACCCTAGATCACTTGCCTAAGATCCACTGCTGGAAAGGGGCTATTATTCTTTAACACTGCAAAATGCTAAAATTATATAAGGAGTATCTTTTTTTTTACCAAATACAGACATGATTTATGAACTATTTGAAAGAAAGACGCCCAATAACTAGCCTCTCAGAACTTTTTTACACAACAAGGGTCATATAACTATATTCCAATAAGATATTTAGTCCATGTAAACTAAGTGATTTTGACCCTATGCCAATAGTTTAAAATCTTTATATAGCATCGCAATGTAATGATATACGATATTTTTCTTCTCTGTGCACTGCAGTTTCGGAGAAGAATTTTAATAACATAAGTCAATATAATTTAAGTGACAGGGAAAGCTTTTTTTGGTAACAGGAGCATGATTTAAAGGCCATCACGAGGAACACAGTTTTTAAAGACTTGTGTACGGAATCATATTGAATTTTTAAAAAAAACAACAGCAAAAAACAAACTACAATGCCTAGAGCTTAGATAGTCAACACACAACCTTGCCAAGTAAAGAAGACCTCTTTTAAAGTTAGATTAAACATTTTTGGATCATTTAGTGTACATGCAAATATTTTTTTCTCAAAAATCTAAATGCACAGAGCACAGGTACTAAGCATGTAGCCTCACCTTATGCTTTTATTAACATATTAATTGAATCATGCTCATAGAGCCACCTGGGTTTATAAACTTGTATATGAAAACACATAAAAACATCTATTGTTAAACTACTATGACTTGGACTAAGATATTTTGGATGTAGCATGAAAAAAACATGCATAAATGTGTATGATGCTACTGCAGTCTAAAATGGTTTTGCAATGGTTATCACTTAATTTACAAAGCCTACTGCAGTAAATCTGTTTCCCCTAAACCTACAGTACCTGACGCATAGAAATTAATCATGTATCATCATAATTTTGTTATACTCTACAAATATCTGATATACCATGGACAACATGGTCAAAATTTACCCCTAACACCAGAGGTCACTAAGTTCATATGGACTCATATATGAATATGGTTATTAAAGTTCTCTCATGTAAAAAAATTAAACTAGATATTGGGCATGTTCTTTAAGAGCACCCGGATACAAATATTACACAAATCATGTGTGTTATGACATAATTGACACGCCCAAAATGATATTGTTACCTTTTTCCCAACAATGATCTTAGGTGAGTGATCCAGGGTCATCTTTCTCCTCTTATTGAAAGAAAAAATGGAATATGATTACTTTAGGAAACTTTAGGAAATGCACTTATTTGTATCCTAACTTTTCAAAAGACTGCATGCAGGCCAGACCATATCATTGATATATCTGTTTCACATCACATAGATGATGTGATGTGGCAGTAGCCTTATTTTTATTATGTATGTTCAAACATTAAATGAAAAACATAACAAATCATTATCTCATTTTGTTGGCTTTTAAGCCATGTTTATATCATAAATATAAAATTGTGAATGAGTCAAAAATATGCGCTTATGGACTACCTTTATACCTTACATCTGTGCACGTGTTTGCTATTTTAAGCACGTTAAGTTAATTTATTGTCTTCTTATATGTCTTTACAATTAACAATTAATATATGATATCAAAAATATTGAAACAAGAATTATCATGCAACCAAATTTTATAACTGAATGTATACACATGTTTGTATGTGCATTTCTTGCTCACCCACTTGACCCGAAGGAATACAAAAATACTTTCATCCAATAAAAAGTACTTTTTTAAGTTGGAACATTTGCATAAGAATTCATAGAAAAGTAAAAAGGCAAAGAAATAGAATGAACATAACTATGTATAATTTCTGTTGTTTTTCTATTACAATTTTCGTATAATATTACCCCACCCACTTTCACAAACTATAAAACCTTCAGATTTAATGTTTTTCTTACATTTTTACAATAAACACAATATATAAATGGAATGTCAAATACAGTTTAAGACATAAAGTAACTTTTTTTTAACTTTGCACATTAATTTAGAAAATCAAATTTGAAAAATATGCAAAAATTTGATTTTTTTTTCTTGATATTTTTAAAGATATTTTTAGACAAACACTTTTGAAATATTTACTTTTATTGAGATTAACAAATAATTTGATTATCTCTGATATGTTTAAACACTTTTTTTATCATAATGAACATAATTTGTGCAACAAATTATACTATAAAAATGATATAACAGTTTTGCACAAAATCGACGGCCATATTGGACGCCATCTTGGATTTGGACGAGGATTGAAAGAAAAAAATTGTTAGATTTATATTTTTGAAAAGGAGAAACTATATGCATGCTTTTGGTGTTAGTTTCAGGTCTGTACAAAAAATGAAATGAATGAGCTAGTATGCACGTCAAATGTATATTGCGGCCATTTTGAAAATGGCGGCCATCTTGAACGAGCAGAGATATTTTTGGGCCCACTTCACTTTTGAAATCTACTTGGTCTAAAGATGATTTCCTGAAAGTTTCATGCTTGTATCACGATTTGCACTATTTTCTCCATTTCCCGCCCCACTATTAGAAATGACAATAATTTTAAGGTTTATATTTCGTTGAACACAAGTACGTGTATATATCTGTTTTTCTTTCTTTTTTTCTCCACAAAAGATATACCTGAACAATGGGAAAGATTTTCAAAAAAAAATACAATCTCCTCTTGTCATATAACCGTTCGGCTAATATTTGTTACCACAGCCTTCCTCACATGCATGGCTGCAGAAATAAATTTCATTTCGCCAAAAATAAATATATGACTATGTAACTAAGAGAAAACCGATAAGAAACGATTCATTATGAATTTGCCATGTAATTCGAGGATTCAATAAAAGATCCACATGTACAGGAATTGCATATTGAAAATTTGTTCATATCTTATAAAAAAAAATGCACCTTAATTATTTCTGACTTAAATTATT